ACAAAGAAGTCAGACAGGACAGAATACACACATAAAAATGAGAAGGGGATTCAATGAATGTATAATCTGAAATAATATGCCTGAGTAGATCCCCTGAAAAAGAATTGAGAACAAGCAGGCTTAAGGAAAAGCAAGCAAACAAGCAAGATAGATTTCTGAAAGAGGCAGCTGAGGTGAATAAGCTAAATAAAAAAACAAAGGCTAAATATAACATTCCTTTTTCTGGTAAAATACCTAAAAATGAAAATATAAAACATAAGCTCTAGCTTTCTCAAATAAAAACGGCACATGGAATACTTATAAGTAACTCATTAAACCAGTACACAGGAAAGATTGTCGGAGAGTTTGGGAAATAGTATTAATATGGTTTCGGTATGTCTTTTCCTAGTTAACTTTTACTCATTCTTCAGATGTTGTCTCAAACTTAACTTCCTTAAGTTTCCCAGTTAAAAGTTTTTATAGCAATGTGTATCTACAGCTTTATAATTATTACTTTATGGTTTATAATTATATATAACGTGTGATTTACGAGTGACCATGAGCCTCCCTCCTAGACTATAAGCTCCACCATTATATCCCTGAGCCTTAAAAGTACTCAATCAGTATTTCCTGGAAATTAATATTAATGAGGTTTTGGAAAGGCTTTGTTTAATTGTTAAGAAGAAAGTCTCCTAAGTCTTTAATCATGTGTCAGGGACACAGAAAATGATACCTTATCACAGTTTATTTTGACTTCAAGTTACTTATTGCCTTCTCTTGGGTCCTTGAAGGATAGGAGTAGAGTGATTAAAATAACTCTAAATATACAACAATAAGGCACAAACTTGGAATCAACTGTCATTCAAACAAGTCTGGGATTTACTCGCTTTCACTCAGTCTTCCTTAAGACTCATGGCATGAATTTAAAAATACATGTAGTTCAAAGAGCCTAGAGATTGTGACAACAACAGAACAAAGTAAACCTGTCTGGTACATGCAGAGACTAAATCTACAGGCTCGAAGTGGAACTTAGCACATAATAGACATCCAATAAATACCTGTTGAATGAATCAGTGATTTAATACATTGAGCTACCCAATTTCACACAATAATTACAACCTCCACTTTGGGGTTATTTTTGTTTTATTGACTCATATCCCTGGTCCTTACACATTACTCACTCAATTAGTATTTCCTGAATAAATGGATAAAGAAATAAAAGATGATGATAGGCCATTATATAGAGGATTTTTTGTTTTATTTTAAAATATTTATTATTATGTTGTTATTTTTAATTCATCACCATATGTTATTTCAAATTTTCTTGGCTCCATCATCCCTAGATCTGCATCTTTAATATTTCTCTGTTCATGAATTCTACCAATGTCTCACCTACTACGTTTTAAGTTCACTGAGAAGTAGGCCATACATTTTTCAGTTTCATCTCCTTACACTGAATAACATGGTACTTTGCAAAAAATGAGTTTTTAGCAAATGCCTGTCATATAAATAAATTAGAGAAATATAACTGGTCACTTTCCCATTAATATTAAGATCTCTCTGGAGCACTTCTGTCTTACTACATGTATTTTTGTTTTATCATATACAAAAATAAAGATTTGAATCTACATTTACTTATCAAATGGAACAATGCTATGTGAATCTCTATGAAAATCTATCAACATTTATGACACAAAATAAACAGTTTCAGGAACAAATTCTAAATATGTTTAGGTACAAACTCCACTATATCAAACACCCTACCCAGGCTGGTAACTATGGAACTGGTCGGTGACTAATGCTAGAATTACACTGAGATTCAGATGTTCCTAGATATGCTTAATATTATCTGGCTTTATGAAATTAATATATTTAGTGTCCAATAAAAAGTACAACACTTCTTGCTTGAAGAGTTAAGACAAAAGATAGATACTCTCTGCTAGAATAGTAAAAAATGTAAAAATTGAAAGTATCCGTGTCCATCTTGATCATTCATAATGTTCACATAATGTTCACAGCATGCAGAGTTTCACCACATGTTAAAAAGTAACTGTGTGATGCATACAAAAAAAAACCCAGCTTCAAAATAATTGCCATCCTACACTACAATTGACAGAGACAATGTTGCTAAAATACCATTATTTGTGATTGATGAATACCTCAAACTTAAATATATAAATTCTAAAACAACACTTTCATTATTATTTAAATTTCACAAATAAATCTCATGGAAACCAAAAAGACATTTTTTAAATTAACTTTCCGAATTACATGGATATTTCTTACAAAATACATTTGTATTTTTTCTCAGATAAACTCATCAAACAATGGCAAAAATTTTTACCTAATATTTCCATAGCACTTTATACCTTATAAAACATGTATTTACTGATTTGATTCCCACAATCATGATACAGGCTGTTAACCCCATTACTTTCCAAACCATAGACCTTCTAAAATGCAGAACTGGGATGGAATCCCAAGTCTTATGATAACAAGTTCAATGCTTTTTTCATGTTATTTGGTATTTTTCTCATTTTCTAAAATCTCAATTTCCTTATGTCTTCACCTCTTAGGACACCTATCCCCTCATTTATGTACAGCCTTTATAATCTACTATTAGATTATAAACTCCTTGATTGGACTATAATAGGCAACCATTAAATATCTGACAATGAATTCCCCCATTTATTGGCCCTTTCAAGCAACATGTATATGAGGAAGGAAATGGGATAATTTTAGCTCATGGAATATTTACCCACACAAAATGAAAAAGAATTAAAAACTCTCCCAAAAGTCTAGATCACCTCAAAACTCCTATTTTCTACTGACTGAAGAACACGTTATATAGTAAGAATTAACTAAATAAAATTAGGCAGTGGAAAACCTGAGACATTTACAGAAATGCAAGCACTCTCATCCTAAACAGAGATCTTTGCAAAATTTCAATGACAGAAAGAAGCTGAATAAAATCTTCAAATGTGAACCTGCAACAAAGTCTTTTCAGGATCTATTATGCTGTTCATTTTAGTCACTTAAAGTGAAAATATTAAAGACAAGTGGTAATTTGCAAGTAGACCCTTTCCTTTTTGTTTCTAAGAATACTAATTTAAATTCCTACAGTTACATTTTAAACTATAAGTGGTAATAGGGAAATATTTCAGTCTTGTTTAATGTATGACATATTTTTAAAATGGTAACTCTCAGAGCTTAGAAAATAGAGGGAGACATTCACATAAATTTTAGTTTATACTTTACCTATGACCTTTCCTTCTACAATTTGTATACCGTTTTATAAATATTGCTAGCACGGTCACAGGTTGGAATAGGGAAGCTTGTCTACATCCATAACTTAAAGGCACATACAAATTATAAAAGAGTTTGCCAAGGAAATGAGGAATGACATATTACTAGAAACAGTAGGTTGGATGTATGAACATAGGAAAATATGATTTTGAAGTTGAGGTCTGAATACTACACAAAATTAACAAGGCTATGAAAATTATAATATAAACCTTAATGGATTTATTCCTTTTATAACCCATCTGAATGGCATCTATTTTCATTTAAATATAATTTCTAGATGTGAATATATGAAATGCCACTGTATACTCTGAAATGGTTACTTTCATGGTATGTGAATTTCACCTCAGAATTATAGATATATATACATTAATACATACATATCTACCTAAAACCCTCTGACCTTTATCTAATGATAATGGTTCAATCTTTTTGTAAGATAATTAGTATTATTCCAGTGCCTGGACATAAAATGAAATCTTAGACAGCCAGCTTGAAAATGCACACTATTTGAAATGCTGGAGTAAAAAATGACAAATAGAGACCTTCATATACCAAAATTACTAAAAATTTTTCTGTGGGTAAAGTTAAACAAAATTTTGAGATTACTCTTCATCTGTTCAATGCTTAATCAAAAATATAACAAACATAAGTAGTTTAGCAGTACTTAAAGTTCAATAAATAAATTAGTATTAGAAGAAACAATGTGAATAAATCAGTTTAAAAATTTTTCATCTATTTCTATTATTGTTTATTAATGCCAATAACTTAAATTAATAATAAAGCTAATTCAACTATCATTGTCCCACTTATTAAGGAATTTCATTATCCCTATTTAACAACATATTTCTTAAAATCTCTCATGATACATTTTTTTTAAAATTTTATTTATTTATTTGAGAGAGTGAGCGAGAGAGAGCACAATCTGGGGGAGGGTCTACGTAGAGGAAGAGGGAAGAACAGGCTCCCCACTGAGCAAGGAGCCTGATGCAGGACTCGATCCCAGGACCCTGGGATCATGACCTGAGCTGAAGGCAGACACTTAACTGACTGAGCCACCTAGGTGTCCCTCTCCTAGTACATTTTTGACAGCAATTTCAAGGGCCAATTTTAGGAGCATAAAAGGAAAAATTGTGATAATCATATTTTTAGTTTTTAGTTTGAAATAGCTTTAATGTTCAAGTTTAACCTAAAATATTTTAAATGTTTAACTTAAAATATTTTAAATGTTTAACTTAAAATATTTTAAATGTTTGGAGCACTGGGTGGCTCTGTCGGTTAAGCTTCGGACTCTTGATTTTGGGTTGGGTCATGATCTCTGGGTTGTGACGTGAAGCCCTGCATCGGACTCTGTGCTCAGCTAGGAGTCTGCTTGAGATTCTCTCCCTTCCTCTCCCTCTGCCCCTCCCCCTACTTGTGCTCTCTAAATAAATAAATAAAATCTTTAAAAATATGTATATTTTAAATGTTTATATATTTAAATTTAAATTTATAACAACTATTTTTAATTTATAATACCTTAAAATACATATGTCCTTAATACATTGATCAGCATTTTAGTGAATTTTGACACACTGTATTGAAGGAATTCAGAAAAAAGTAAAATTAAGTACTAAGCATAAAATGTTATGGGCATTTATCACAAACTATTCATTATTTTACTCTATAGCAAAATGAATGACATCAAAATATACATATAAACTAAATTGGAAACGTACATCAACAAATTGTATGATAAAGTGTCTCCTTTGTCCATCAGAATATACAGAAAGGACATATTCACCAGGTTTCCCATGACTCTCTCGCACCAAGAAGTCTCCTTGCTGTTTTAATAGATCTTGCGCTTCTATTCTGGGAATTGCTCCATGGTACCAGTCCTGTTCTGCCAGGGGCTTCTCACTTACAGGGATCGTATCAGAGAACTTGAGCAAACATTGAGAAAAAATAAATAAATAGTAAATTAGAGAAAATAGGAATTCTTCCTGGTAAAACCGATAGCAATTATAAATACTTCTTACATACGTTCCTCTTTTAATTCGACCAATTAAAAGTTTCATGATGAATCTGAATTTTTCATAATTTTTAAAGAAAATATCTCTTGGAACACTGGTGCTGAAGTTTAGCTCAAATACATATCTTTCAATACTTTGAGTTTACTTGTTTATTCTATCATACATAGATGCACACAATATTAGCATTCAGTGTTAGAATTTATAGTCTTATTCACCGTATTATAAAAGAAATCCATATATTTAAAATTTACCAACCAGAGAATTATGATAGAAGGGGGTATTATCAGAGAAATTTGTCACAAAACAATTTCATTTTTATTCAAATTAAAAGTTAATTATTTTTATGGAATAAACTTTCAATGACACAGACTGTAGATTGCCTATGTCATATGTTCCAGAAGCAATATTGAAGGCATCATTTGATGCTACCTTGCTGCTGTGCCTTCCCATTCTTACCCTCATTCCCCTGACTGCCTTATCCATTATCACTGCCACATGCCTGGTTCCGATCCTGCACAGCAACGGCCAGCAAAGCCGTAGGAGAAATAGCATCACTGGAAATCACCAACACAAAATTATAAACAAGTGGCAAAAACAGGAGAGGACTATAAGCCAGGACTATGGCAGGAAAAGCAGATCATCTGTTATTTTAGGAGACCACATGCTAATATCAATTAACAGATAACTAAGGAGTGAGTTAGATGTCCTTGAAATGTTTCTAATTGATAATAGATGGAAGCACATTTTCTAGTTACAAGTAAAAAGTGTGTTATTTGTTTTTATCATCCAAAGAACTAAACTGCCCCAGATGGTTAAGAGTACTATATGGGTAAGGTACAATAATGTGCACTAACTCTTAAGATACTTAGAATACAGTATGCACAATGTCTCATGAGAAAGTAATTTATAAATTGGAGAAATTAGAATTAATAATAAATGAAAGGCAAATATTCACACATACGGTATCTCAGAATGATGTTATGAACTCTATACAGGGAAAAAGTATGATATCTTTGCGGTAAATGAGAACTAGTTCTGAAGATAGCCTTCATCGTTTTGTACCTAGGAAGAAGCCCAAAACTTGTAAGTCAAAGTTCCATTTTACATTATCCGAAACCCATCCTACTGATTTAAAAAAAGAAACCTGAAAAATCCCAAATGGACTTCAAAGAAGAGCTCACATTTTGGTTTCTACTTCTTCCACTTACAATACACTTAATTACTTAAATATATATATGGTGTGACTTACACAGAAATTTTTTGTAAGCTAAATAAGGCTTTTCTTTTAGTACAAATTATGATAAATATAATACTTCAAAAACATTTTAATCAGTGTTTCCAAAA